TTTGTAGAGGTGGCTTATGTATTATCAAATGTAAAGGATCCTTGTAGTTCATATGCTTATCTAGAATAACCACATGTATGGTTCATCTTTAAAGAATAAATTAGTATTTTTATTACTGAATTACTAGTATTTCACTAAATTAACAGTTTATTACTAAATTAAAAGTTACTAGCTACCATTTGTTAAATACTTGTAGTGTCTGCCAGGGACTGTGCTAAATGGTTTTATATATTATTTAATTCTCATACTCACCCTATAACAAGGTTTCACTCTTCCAGCTTCACAGGTAAGGGAACAGAGACAGAGAAGCTGAATGATTTGGCTAGCATCTCACATACAATACCTGATGGGGCTCTTGTTCAAATCTAGTTCTTCCTCTAAAACTGGACTCTTCCCCCAGGGCTCCTTATTGTGTCGTGGAAAGGAGAGGAGCAGTTGCACTAACCCTCTGCTGAGCTTCCTGTTTTTATGTTTGGGCTAATAGCTAATAGTTAATAGCTTGGTTCAAAAATCTTCCCAATGGTTCTCTTGATTAGGATAGGAAATATGTTGTGCTTCAGTGGAAAACTAGACATTGTCTACAGTTCATCCTTCCACATTATCTGACTCTTATTTTCTTGGAGCTATTTTATAACACTGTAAACTGTACATAACTGACAGCAAGAAAATATAATTCTTGCTATAGACAAGGAGAGGTTTGACTGATTGTTTTCCTCTTCACAGTTTTGCCTCCCCTACATATAATTTAATTTATCTTATCTACATGTATTTCTTGAACCTTATCATTTTCTTTTTTAAAAAATCTTTAACATCTGTTCATTTATATATATATATATGAGAGCCATTATTTTACCCTTCTCAAAAAATTATTGTTTGGTGATTTTGGGTCTCCCACCAACATACCCAGTAGATTCAATTAATGGATTTTAATGTATTCTAATATTTTACATATGCTAGAGGGAAAAAAGTATTTTTATAGAGCCTAACCTCAGAAACATTTTAGGAACTCAAGTTCACATAAGTTAGGTAAACTTTTGGCAAATGAGAAAAGGTTAAAAATTTTGGTTTAATAAAAACATCTTTGTCTTTTCTGATTTATCAGTATTAAGCAAAATACAAGTCCACATTTTTATTTTACTTTACTTATTCTTTATCAATTCATACAAAGTTATACATATCCAATAATCTAGCATTACTTCTATTTAATATTTAAGCTGATGAAAATTTGTGTTTCACTTCACCAGTTACTGAGTTTTACAGTGTGTTGGCTTGGTGATAGCTTTTCAATCAATATCTTACATAATACTGCATTATAATTCTAATACTGAAGCACTTAAGACTAAGTATAAAGTTTATATGCTTTTTTCTTACTATAGTGAGGTTATATCTTTGGGTTTGTTAATAAATATGTTCATTTTTATCACTTAGAGATGTTGCAGCAGGGATGTGTGGCTGTAGGAAGCTGACTTCACGTGTGTCCCTGAGTTCTGCTCATCTGCACTTCAGCTGGTGGGAGGGTTCAGTTATATACTTCTACCCCTCACTCATTCTCTTTGTGAAGCATAAAGAATACAAAGTACTCTGGTTAAAAGTTCTGATTAAAACAAGTGGTAGCGACTATCAGAAACAATAGTTTTAGAGAAAGCAAACTGTGCACAGGTCTGTTTTTTTAAGATTGCAGATGAAACCGGGTGGAGTCTGTTTTCTTGGGCTTGACTTTCTGTTCTCACCATAGGGGGGGGGGAAACCAGATGCTTTAAAAAAATCTAATCTGAGATTTCTCCTGAAAACTTCCAGAAAAACAAACTTAAGGTGGTCAACCTAGTTGACTACTGCATCTATGTAATCAGACCAAATTTGATGAGAACAGCCTTATTTTGTGATTAAGAAAAAAATTACATTGCAATTATTTTTATCAAGATGGAGGAGAGACTTGGGAAAAAAATTTGTGCTTCAATAGAAAACTAGGTATCATCTATAGATTACTATCCATAGACCAAGCTTTGTCTCCAGCCTTACACATTATCTGATTCTGATTCAGTGGGAGCTATTTTACACTCTGTAAGCTCTAAATAATGAAAAACAATGCAAAATAATCTTTGTCTGCAGACATGCAAATTCTGCCCAATGGAGGTTCAGCTGACCCCCCCTTTCTCATAGTGGAAGAGGCCAGTTTTGCCTCTGTTCATTCATTTCAATATTTCTGATATATAACTATCTTTTCCAATTCTCCTTTGAACTGATTATAACACCTCATCAATATCCTCACTAATGAGCTAAATAAAATCTTTAATGTATATTCATTTTCATATCTGTATGAGGGTGTTGATTTTGGCCCTTAGTAGAAAATTACCTTTTAATATTACTTAGTTATTTACTTTAGGACACATACACAAATAGGCATGTTTCCACAATTAGGCTGAACTATTTACAGTGAAGCTCTATAATGCAGATGTGGGGTTTATTCTTTAATTTTTGTCAATTTTTTTTCACAGAACACTAAACTATAATAAACCTACAGCCTAGTATAGAGCTTTACAATGGTGTGTATAGAATTGTGTCAGCTTGCTGTGTTTATAGGTTTTCATTTTCTCTTTGTTAAATCTAAAATGTGTACAACCTATATCAATTATTTCACCAAATTCATGAGAAATTTTCAAAAATGGTTGATCAAGCCAAAGTGACTGAGTGGAAAACTAAGTACCCACATTTCCTTTTCTGGAAATACATCTATCACCCATTCTTCAGTCTCCTTTGGCTTCCTACAGCCATCCTCCTCTTACACAATAGTATTCTGGGAAGGAGGATGCCAAATCTTTTCAGTCTTTCTTAAGGCCAAGCAAAATTTCATGTCCATGAAGGAGAATACAGAAAAGAGTTGATGGGTTTAATTTTCTCTGCTCAGCCATCTTCTACTTCAGCAACTTAGTTTAAGCCATCTGTAAACTTCCCGTCCTGTTTTTCTTCTCCATATATAAATCAATCAAATATACCCTATACAATTTTCTCTGGCCAACTCCCATTTTGAAATGATCCATTCTTAAAACACCTAGAGTAATTACTGTCTAGAAAATCCACATGGCAAAAATCACGAACTGTCTTTTATTAATATGCAGCAGTTATTTAGAGCTTTTAAATTACATTTACATTTATTTTCACATATGAATGGAAAAGCTCATAGGGACAGAAATTGTTCTGTTCTTTTTTGCATTCCTCAGAGTGCTTCTTGCTTCATGAAAACATCAAGGAATCTTGGTTCACTTGATTTAACACTGAAACTGATCTGCCTTTTAATTCTCTACATAGAAAGGCAGGGGTCAATAAAAGATTAAACAGAAGCATTTTGGGGTTGACCCATATACTATCGAAATTCAGTATTTATTGTCCATAAGTTTTAAAGCCTTTTGTAGATTTGTTAATGTTTTCTTTTTTAGGTTCTTATGGATGAGAAAATAGATTTGGGACCAATAGAAGATGGGTCATATAATATTATATGTCTGGTAGCAGCTGGGGTTGTGGCTCAGAGGTAGAGCGCTCGCCTACTATGAGTGAGGCACCGGGTTCAATCCTCAGCATCACATAAAAATAAAGATATTGTGTCTACCTATAACTAAAAAATAAATATAAAAAAGTGTATGCTAAATGTTAATGCCAAAGGCAAAGATTGCAATAGTGACTGCATTAGATTTACAAGATCCTTAAAGACAGAGAATTCTAATTTATTTTTGTCTCTGACCCTAACATCCCACAGTGTCTATGCCAGTTATTTATTGTCTCTAACTCCATATCAACCCCACTTTGCCTTGCTTTGTGATGCTTGGGCTGGGTCCTTCAAATATTTCTCTTTTGGCAGCTGTCTTTATCAATAGAAGACACTGGAAGGGCACTGCATGGTCATGGCAGAAGGAAAGGGCTACCCTTCTGTCCCCTCTGCAACCTCTGCCAAGCTTCCTGTGGTACCTCACTCCCTTCACCTGAAGCAGCCTTGGTTGACAGGGAGGGAGTTTGTTGAGTTCTTAGTTTCTTCCTTATTCACTCTTTCTCAGCCTGTGGGTAGTACCTGCTTTCTGCATTTGTTATTTCTCAGTTCTTAAACTTCTCTTTTATGCGTTTTAGCAGTTAATTATCTTTTACTAGTAAACACTTTTTAAATATTAAATTTCTAGTGTGATTTCTTTTTTTTGTGAGGGAGGGATATGGGATTGAACTGAGGGGCACTTGACCATTGAGCCACATCCCCAGCCCTATTTTATATTTTATTTAGAGACAGGGTTTCACTGAGTTGCTAAATTCCTTGCTTTTTGTTGAGGCTGGCTTTGAACTTGAAATCCTCCTGTCTCGGCCTCCAGAGCCTCCTGCACCCAGCCTACTAGTATGTTCTATTCTCTGATTGGATCCTGACTAATATAGTGCCTGATAGTAAGTAAACATTTAAAAAATGTTTGTCGAATAGTAAAGGTAGACTGAAAGTGCTCCTGAGATGAAAGTTTAAAGTTCTCAGAATTTTAAGGCATCCCACACATTTCAGAAAACATTTTCTATGAGACCTGGAGAAACTTCCAATCTTTATCTGTCTGAAAACTAAACAAAATTCCACATGTAATACATTCCTTTTTTTCTATTAGTTATAGCATATATAACTAATGGAAAAGCTATATGATGGATACTTTTTCCAATACAAAACTACAGAATTTGTTGGGAGAAAATGGGAAATTTTTATTCCAAAAGAGCTCATTTTTTTCTTAAGAATCAAGCCATAGTGACTGACTGGAAAACTAAGTACCCACATTTCTTCTGTCAATACAGTCTACACCCATCCCTTCAAACTCCAAAAATAGAAAGAGGTGGGTGGTGATGGTGGTAGAACGAATAAGGCTACTCTTGATGAGCCCACATATCCCTAGTGTTCATGAAGAGGTTGATGCTTACCATTTTCCAGTCCTGGGGTTGGCTGTCTCCAGGAGAATAGACATCGACTTTGCATACTCCATTTTGGCTTTGTAACCAGTCAACCCTTTCTGACATCTCGAAGTAGAAAGAAATGAAAATAGTCATCAAAAGGAAAGGTTATATCAAAATAAGGAGAAGAAAGGTGAATGGCTGAGGTATAAAAAAAAGGAGCAATGATTTCAATAGAGACCAATTTCAAGAGCTGCTTCAGACCCACCTTACTCTGGGTATCTTCATCCCCGGTTCTCAACTGCAGAGAGTTCTTAATCCCTCTAGTGATGAGGCTGATGCCTGATATACACTATAGGTGCTTAACACATATTTGTTAAATGAATGAACCTGTCCTGCTCTTTAAGTCTTTAACTTGTCTGTTCTTATCTTTAAGTAAAAGACGCTCTACTTCTATTAATTTCTAGAGCACTATCTTACTTATACTAGCAGTAAGTTTAGTAGCTCTTAAAACTAGTCTCCCCCTCCAATTTGATAAGGATCCTGGGATAAAGCAGAGATATCATATGCACCAGCCAGTGTCCACGGATGCAGCAATATCCTTGCTAATGACAATTTGTTCACAGACCTCATAATACTTTGCTCTATTTTCCAATTTAAGTAATAACTCAATCGTCTTTCTGGTCTTTTGAGCCAGAAAGCTGAGATTCATTTGAGTTGTCTTCTTCAATCCTAAGCCTCCCTCTAGCTACTACATTTATGGTCTTTAATTTGTAGTCATTTTTCTTAAATCACTTATACTTGCTGCTTTTATCATCTCACCTCACAAGTGAGCACCATAGTCCTTATTCCATATACTCTTTTCACCTTTGTCTTTAGTCTTTTCTACACACCACAACATTTAAACTTGACAGTTTTTGAAAACATGGCCAGCTACATGATGACTTGCACTACAAACTGATAATCTAAAACTTCACTTTGCCTTCATTTTCCATCAGACTTTCACTTCTAGGCATCTGCACTGAAATTTCCCTTTTTTATTATCAATGAGTGAGATGGAATAAAACATCCACTATTTTTCTTCCTAATGTCTTTACCACCTTCATGAAACAGACATACACTTTTACATGAGTTTAAATATCTGTTATAATGAAGCCCAACACATATTCTAATTTTTAAAAGCATTTTTATACCTTTATTTTATTTATTTATTTTTATGTGGTGCTGAGAATCTAACCCAGGGCCCCACACATGCGAGGCAAGCGTTCTATCACTGAGCCACAACCCCAGCCCTCATATTCTAATTTTTAATAGTGAAATTGTTTTTATAAAGAATTGCTTGAAATAAGTGAAACATTATTAGGGAGTGTTTATCTGGTTAACTAGAAATATTTGTTTTAAAAGACTTTGGACTGTGGTGGGATAGACATCGTCCCTCATTATAAAGTCAAAAAGATAGGCAGACTACACACATGGTTAAGCACACCTGCCAATATATTACTTTTGTTATAGAGAATATTATAGATAATTTTTGTAAAGAAAATGTAAGATCATCTAGATCTATTATTCTTTGTCCCCAAAAGGCTTTGTACCCATTTCACAGCTCAGTCATAGATTCAGATTATTTGGCTAGCAAGACAGCTTTTCATTACTCTGATTAACCTTTAGAATCACTCAGAGAACCATGTAAATATTGAATCTGATTTACCACTTCCAGAAAATTTATTTCAATGGTTTTGGTTTGGGGAAACTTAACATTAAATTTATTAAAAGCTCTCTGGGTGATTCTAATGTGTATACAGAATTAATTCCTGGGCTAGAGCTTCTCTGGAGAGACCCTCTCTGAAAAAGATTGATCAGCTTCATAAAGATATTTGCTTTTTTTCCTTAATTTTTTCCTGAGATAGATTTCCCAACCATCTTTAGTGTCCTCTTTTAATGTTTTGTTACCTTAACAAGGAAATTGTTAATGTTTATGAAATAAACCCTGTATTGTTCTTAGCAGCTCACTACTATATAAATATTCTTATGCTTACATCATGACCATGAAGAAAGGAATTAATGGCACTAATATTTGGCCAAAGAATGGGTTCACCTGAAAGCAGATTGTCCTAGATCATTAACAGTGCAAGTGAAAGCCAAGAATGTGTCTCTTAATTTCCCTCTTATATTTCATCCTAATGAGTTGCTTCTAATAGAAAACAAAATCAATAGGATCTACTGACTTATTTAAGCAATCGACCACAATTTAAAAAGAAGAAAATTAAGAAATCATGTGATTACTTACTTTTCCTGAGAACAGATTCTGAGATAAGAGGAAAGCTCTTGATTAATTTGTTGTCTTCTCTATCCCTAAGTTTACCCACCCCTCCTGCCATGTAATATATAAGGAATCTGCAATGGAAAGACAAAGATAAAAATGACTAATTTTACGTATGAGCCCAATTGCTCTTATTAACAAATAACTTTGATTTGTTCAATTTTTTCACATGTGCACATAAGTGATGGATACAAAATCACATTAAAATCTCATAGAAAGAATCCACATCTTATTCCTGGCACATTTCGAGAGTTCCCAGATGACAAAAAAGGTTCCATTTTCTGACCAATAATTTCTTAATGACTGCTGTTGTTCTCCACCTGCAATCACTGGTATATAGGCTTATTTAACAATGAGGACACTACAAATTTTTCAGCTTCATTTAAAATCTGCTTGAATAGAAAGTTGGGAAATAGATGAGATGGTGAATAATAAGTGCCCTGAATTCATGGGTTTCAAAATAGAAAGTATTCCTTTAAAGACTTGAAATATACATCCTCATAGTATACACGGAGGTCACAGGTAATGTCTTTCAATTCAATCAACTTCCTTCTACTATCTCTATCAAGACATTACAACAGAAAGCACTGTGCTTTCCCTTTGGAATATCCACTCAGCATCCTCTCAGCCCAGTAATGTCTCTCTAAACCCCAGGACAAAAGATTCCCTATCCATGAAATATTTCTTAAATGCCTAATTGAATACGATGATCACTGCTTCATTGAAGTTTCCATCTTATTTTGTTTCAACCTTTGCATCTTATCTAATACTTTAATTGCTCACATATATTTTATCTCCTTTATTAGATGGCTCCATAGGGACAGAGGCACTCATCTCAGAGTCCCTAATAATAGCTAGTACCTTAAAGTTGGTGCTTAATAATTACTGCTGAAAGAATGAATATACAAATTCTTCCCATTTCTAATTCCAGATAGCTCATTTTCTTTCTTTCTCAAATTGGAGAATCTGAGAACAAAAAAGAAATGGTTTGCTGAAACTTGTGAGCGTGGTAAATTATATATTTCAGTCTTCTTAAAGTTGACTCCTTTTGGGAATAAGTTCTCCCCAAAGGCTTACCCAATGATTTCCTAACAGATCTAACAATTCCAAATCAAATACATCAACATCCCCAAAGGGCTCTTATCTTTTTACAGAAAGTACACTTACTAATAAAATATACTCAGCACTTAACCCACATATTTTTATGCTATTTCTTTTGTCTTTTGTGTGTTTATTTGCATCCATGAAACTTGCTACTGACTTGTCCTGGATGATAGCACATTTAAAGAGGTACTTAAATTCTTTTTGATAAGACCTTCAGATTTTCCAAATCAATGCATACATTTCCAAAAATGAAGTGGAAATGAAGAAGAGTTTAAAAGCTAAGCGGATTCAATGAGTGAATTCATAAAGTTCTTTATAAGTTCAAAACTTGGTAATAATATCCTGGAAATAATATTCCTATGGTGGGAAATAGAAGAGCAAATGATACTTCATGTTATCTATTAAAGGAGAGAACATCACCTATACACAAAATTTCAGGTGTTTCCCTTTAACTAATCTTAGAAACCATTTATTCTTATGCCCCCTGTCTAAAAATTTAGGAAACTGATGCCCAGAAAGGGAATATTAGAACCAGTGGATATATCCCTTAGATATTCTAACTCTGCAGTTCAAAATCACAGGAGCTAAGATATATTCTTACGTCCAATAGGGGTATTTTTATGGCCACAGAGGGACTGACCTAAAACTTTCCTTGAAAGCATCAGTAAGATTATTACAACTTGAAAAATGCAAATCATGAATGGCAGTGGGGAAGACATAACCCAGTGCAGGAGTGTGCTTATGGTTGTTGTATCCTAGATCACAGCTCCTTCTCAAGACATTTTTCTCCAGTGTCAATCTTAAAATCCTCTCACGGTTCCTAAACTCATGAAAAAACTAAATTATAGGCAGCAAAATGGAACTCTTATAAGGTTGCTACATACCTGATTAAGTTTTGAGGTTTATGCAACCAGGTTTTATGACTAGTTTTAAGGATGAATATATTTATTATGTCCTTTCTCTTTTTCTTCCTCCCTCTCTGTAAGTGCCTGGTACATTATAGAAGCTGAATAAATTTGGTTGTTGCTGAAATGAAAGGTTCAATAGATTTTGTTTAAAGATTAGAAGAGAGAGTGTGTGTCTGACCATTAATAATGATTAAATTTTCTTATAGAACTTTTATTTTTGCTTTTCCTCACTAAAAGCATCTTTCTCTAAAGCCTTGTTAGTACAGATATTCTCTCTCTCTCATCCACAGTACAGGTATATATGTCCTGCCCATTCTCAGTACTCTGTAGTATAACTAAGGCCTCAGAAATAACAATGAGAAGATTCAAATATTTGAGAATGGGACTCAGAACTATACTGATGTTACTCTCAGAGGACTGGAAAGAACTTCTTAAATAGCCAAAAAAAGAAGAGGATAAGTCAATAGGTAATAAACTTGCACTATCAGTGTCACAATGAGAAGCAGGGAATAAGAACCCTCATGGTCCCAGGGGAATGGCCAGGAATATCTGATCAAATCTGTAATAAAACCAAAATGTTAGCAGTAAAGATGATGAGTGTAATGCTGTTGAAGGAGAAACTCATTTATTTTCAGAAGATTCAAAGGAAAATTAAAACTGGCTGGGCAGAACAAGACTGAATTGAATATAATAGTTGCCCATCATTTGTCACTGAATTCTCCCTTCTAACCAGAAAGGATCAAAATGAGCCACTTTACCAATCCAGTGGGATTTCCTACCTCTGTAGCTCTGGAATAGTGAACCACAGAAGACGCCAGAATATACTTTAAAAGTCAATGAAGATGCTGGGATGTTCTTGCTCAGCTCAAGATCTTGTTTTCTCCCCCAGATTTCCATGTACCTCCCCCTTGTTGGGACTGGGGAGTGACATCAGAATCACAACTGGTGATATCACCATCTCTATAGCAACAGTGTGAAGCTGCTAGACATTGAATAGTGCAAAGGATGAGAGGAGTGGTAAATACATATTCTAAGGCTCCATGTTTCCTTTGACAGGATTAGGAGTGTTTTCTTCGGATTACTTCTCTCCTTTAAGCATTTAATTGGGGGTGTATGGGAAGGATAATTTTTGTCAATGGATTCCATTTAAAACAGGAGAATAAGTATTATTTATTAAATCCAGATGGCTGCAGAAGAGTAATAACAGAATTCTGAGTCAACTATTTTTCTTATGCAAAGCCAAGGAATCACCTCATTTTGTAAGATTCAGGCTGGACTCTTTTTACCTGACCATTTCCGGGTTATAATTTTCTTAGATGAGCAAAGGTAGTACTAATCCATCCTTTATAAAGTGACCTGAGGAGGTGTACTGGGATAAATCAGATCAAGAGATATGTGGATGGTGATCCCTTCTAGACTTGATGAAGACTTCACAGTATATTGTCTTTTGAAAATGTTACCATAGATAGTATTTAATGGTAAAGTATAACATATATAGTTTTCATGACAAAGAATTTTCAATCAAGGTTATTAAATGAGATGCAAACTGTAGATTAGTTTATTATAGGCTTCTTTCTACAAAGGTATTTATCTATTGATTATCTTTTATATTAGGTCTGTTTCTTTATCTTTTAAATAAAGTACCTGAGTTCTTTTAGGTTCTTTCCAGCTCTAGCTTCTATGACTTGGATATTTCAGTATATTTGAATAGAACTACAATGTCCCTGAACATAGTACTTTGCAGTTGATAAAGCTGCTTCATATCCATGTCATCTGATCCTCATCCTCACAATTTTTGAGGTTAACATAGCAGGTATTATTTTCTATGTCAGATAGGCATAGAAGCTTGTTCAGGTCACAACTAATAACTGATAGAACTAGGATTGGATCTATATATTGGATGTTAAAATTAGTGCTCTTTCAATAATATCATGATATCTTGGAACTAGAATTGAGAACATGAGGAAATATTCGAGTTAGAGGTGTTAAAAAGCATACTTGTTACACGGGGGTAGGGGTGGTGTATATAACCCTGGTATATGATGGTAGTGGGGGGGTCTCTCAATATATCAGAACCAGAAAAGTATGTTAACATTCATTTTGATCCCTGAATCAAGTATGTTTTAGCAAATTGTAAATGCAAAGTGAACATAGGATAAAGCTAACAAATAAAAGAAGCTGTAATATTGCTAAGCTTCTCATATGAAATTCAAGGATTTCTTTCCATTTCCTATTGGATGTGGCAGATGACACTTCAGTAAACGGTAGGGATGACATAGAGTGGAAATAACCACCTTAATAGCCTAGCAAAAGTCAACCCTACTCACTGTTGGCTTATTGTTTATCCCAGCAACAGTCTTTCTTCCTGAAAAATCCAAGCACTAAAAGGGTAGAAAGATCCTCCCAAACTAGGCTGTTTTCTGATAAGCCTGAAGTATGTTCCCAGGATCACTGGTTATCTTCTACTCAGGGATCTCCAGAGGTTACCACAATAAAGTATTTTAAAATACAAATGGTTCATCTTTCTGGATTTCCTTCAGCACCAAGTGGTTCTTTCTAGAACTATGCAGATGTTCTAAGGGATCCATACTTTAAAAAAAAAAATTACAAACCATCGTTTTAGAGAGAGCCATCCGCCGTTTCTCTGTAGAAAAATGGTTAGATGGCATTTTTGGACAGATTTTCTTAGGTTTGCTCACGAATTTCCCTCCAAGATAAAGATCCTGGATTCACAAGTTAGGTGGTAAGTGCTTGGATAAAGAAAACCAAAACCTAAACAAAACAGGATAGGTTGAATGATCACCACCTTGGATCCGGGCCGTAACAGTCTCCCAAGGGGTCACCTATGAGCAGAGACTTGAACTGGTTACAGTCATTGCAGTGAGCGTTCCAAAAGTAGGCACAGTAAGCAAAAAGGCCAGGAGGAGAAAACGGGCTTGGACGACTCGAGGTGTATTTATTCACTGGAGGCCCATCCTCATTTCTATTTTTCTTCCCCGCTTGTCCTTTCCAGGGCGCCCCACGATCCCGCTTTAACATCCTTTCTCTTTCCTGGGTCCAGGAACTTCGAGAGCACGGAGCCACGCCTCCTCCTCACCCCAGCCTCAAGAGGGTTGCCCCTTCATTTCGGGGAACAGTGAACTCAAGAGTTGAGCTCCTCTACCTCGGTTCTGCCATTTTGTATGCCCTTGGGTCAGTCCCTGGTTGACTCTGAACTTCAGGATCCTAGCAATGAGATTATCTTTACGGTCCATTCTGGATCTGAGATCCCCCACTATTTTTTTCCTTTTTTCCCCCTTGTCTTCACCCGTTCTCATTTTTGAGCTTCTCTCTTTTTCCCGCTCCCTTCTCAACCGCACTCTGTTGCAACCTGCAACCCGCCCGGTCCTTTTCCGGTTAGCGCCTGCGCAGACAGGAGAGGAAGAGAAAGCTTGAGCCAGATCAGCAGCCGTAGTCGGTCGGAGCGCCGGCCGTGGGGCATTGTGGGAGAAGATGGCGGCCGCCGTACACCCCCGGTTCGTCCGGGCTCTGCCAATGTCACGTAAGTGTCACTGGGAACTGCTGTCCGTGATCAGGTCCCGAAGCCGGGATTTAAGGTGAAGGGAGTGGGGCCGTGCCGAGGACTCCTTCGGCACCCTCCTTTGTCTAGGTTCTGAGCTGCCTGTGTTCAGTTTCTCCTTTCCTTTTTCTCCTCCGCTTACATATTAAATCGTGCACTTGGGAAGGCAAACAGAACTGAGCAGAGGGGAAGGGAAAAGGAAAAAATAGGGGACACTAAAGAATCGAGATAATCAGAGTTCGGATAGAGTTGTAAGGGTTTGGGGTTGTGAGAAACACTTGAATGGAGTCGGGGGAGGAATCTGAAAAGGAGAGGGTACTGGAGAGATTTCTTATGGATTGGCTTTATGACCTTGTGCAAACCCTTCATCAGTCTTAACTTCAGATTCTTCATGTCACAATGTAATCACACAACGTCAGGGAGTCTCTGAGAAAGATTAAATGAAGTAATATTTATAAAAGTGTCTTCCTAACCAAAAGTGCCTCTATAAACGTTAGGTCAAGGTTGTGTGGTTTGTGGGTAGAGAGGGATGTTGGTGGAGAAATAATAAGGAGATTGGTGGAAAGAAGTGTGAAGAATGAAGGATATCTTAGGCTTTGTCACCGTTGTTTATTTTCTCTTCTATTTTCATTGGATCTGTTTTCAGTTCTCAAATTGAAAACATACGTTTGCTCTTCCAGTCATTACAAGGCAAGAAAACAAAGACATTAGGAATTCATTTACACTCCATTATCACTCTTTCACTCTCCACTTCCCCATAAACATGCCAATCACCCAAAGTTATATTTTTTCCACCGTGTATTTTAGTTATTACAGAAATTCACTTTTTCTCAAAATTGCCTCGTGTCAGAATTACTATTGGAGTTTTATGAAGAATATAATTGGGGGCTCCTTGTAGAGCTGTCAAAAAAGAATTTTCGAGATTAGCTCCTTGCACCTCAAAATTTTAAAAGCATTGCAGGTAGTTTTAATGTTCACCTGAGGTAAGAATCAGGAGTGTTCAGGATTTTTTTTGTCTTGTTTCCATCTTGGTTAGAATTCCTGTATACTGCTGGAATGTGGCTTTGCACATCAGTTACAGTGGATGGTTTTTTAAACATGACTTCTTTGCAAAGGCATTAAATTATATTAGTGAGACGTAATGAAGACTGTGAATGAGAACTGATTTATATTGAGTACTTGCTGTCTGCTTAACAAAGTTCTAGATATTTTCTGGATTTAATTTTTTTTTTTTAGTATTTATTTTTTTAGTTGTAGTTAAACACAATACCTTTATTTTATTTATTTATTTTTATGTGGTGCTGAGGATTGAACCCAGGGCCTCAAATGTGCTAGTTGAGTGTTCTACTGCTGAGCCACAACCCCTGCCCCTGGATTTTTTTTTTTCTTTAACTGACTTTTCCTTAGTAGACATTGTAGCTTATGCTCTTAACTACGCTGCTTTATTGTCTCTGGTAAAGTGAGTGAGTAAACTCTGAAGAGGCAAGTTTAGTATGTGGTATAATCCAAACATTGTAGAACAGTACTATGTAAAACAGTTGTATATATTTATACATGGAAGACTAGTAAATAAAATATCAAATCAAAAAGGGAAAGATTAATATCATTTGAGGTAGCCAGGGGACATTTGCACACCAGTGGAGAATTGTAGCCCCTTTACCAAACAGTCATTTCTTCCTTCTACTGGGTCATTTTCCTCAGCATATAAATATAATACTTCATATTAAAAAAACAACAACAATCTTTCCTGGTCCTCATGTCTTCTAGTCGCATTACTCTTTCCCCCTTACATTTCTTCCCAGAATTATCTGTGTTTCTCTTACTACTATTTGTCTCACATTCTCTCTCTTGCTTGCTCTACTCTTCCTTGCATTCCCACTAATAGAACAGAATTGCTTGTTAAGGTCTGTGATCTTCCGGGATTTCTTCACTTTTCAGCAGCATTTGATAGAGCTAATTGTTCTCTCATTGAAACACTTTATTTGGTTTCTGGGTACCATTTCCTTTTATTTTTTCTCGTATCTCACTGGTCTGTTTTTCAGTCTCTTAATGGCTTTTGGGCTGGTCACTAACCTCTTTGAACCTTAGATTCCTCATCTATAAAGTGGTGATAAAGATAACATTTAATAAGATAATATCTGTTAAGCACTTAGAATGATGCTGGACACCTGGTAAGATTTCTATAAATTTAGCTGTTGTTATATTATTATTATAGGTCTGATCTGTGTTTGATTTTAATTTCTGTGGTTTCAGCTATTGTTCTGAAAACCAGGCTATTTCTCTAATTTCATACTTTGATTTCTGATTTTGTTTTTATTTTTTCGCAACATGGCAGCAGTGAAGCCTTGCTATGTTGCCCAGGCTGGCCTTGCACTCCTGGGATCGAAGGATCCTGTTTGTGCCTCCTGAGTAACTAGAACTACAAGTATGCACCATCATGCCAGGCCTCAATTCCATACTTTTTGATAGGGAAAAACAGTTTTGTGCAGAGTGCCACTGGGAAGTTATTCCCAGAAAACAAACACAAATTTTCTAAAGAAATTACCATTTATCTCTTTCATTTTCTTCCAAGCATACAGTGCCAGTGCTAAACTCCAAAATTTGCAGACAGGAATGGAAGCTCTTCAGCATTTTAAACATTTTTACTTATTTCTACTTATGTGAAAGTTGGATAACTTGCTCTAAAATTCTACTTTAAGAAGTTATAAAGGACTGAGAAATTGGAACATATCCAAAGGGAATTTACATTTCTGCCAGAGGAGGGGAAGTTGATGAAAGTGGAGATGTTTAACCTGCAGAAGAGAGTATTTAGTGGGAATATAGTTGCTGCAGTTAGATGTAAAGAGGAATTAGATTTGTTCTTTGTTGTTCCAGAGAAAGATGAGGAATAAAAGTACTAAGAATCACTCTAATGATTAGAATGACTCAAATCAGAATGGGCTACTATAGGAAATAGTGAATTTCCCAACCCTGCAGATGCACCTGCTAAGGCCAGATGGTCTCTTTGCACACATACTACACAGAGCTGTAAGTACTGATGCACTGATTTTGAGGGTTTCTTCTAGTACCAAGAAACCAAGTCCATAAATGAGAAATTGTGGGAGGTATGACAAATCACTTGCTGTTAATCTTTCTAAAAATCAAAAAATGTTTTTGCAAGTACTTTGCTCACTAAGTCATCATTTTGATGTTTTCCAGTGGTTTTATATTAAGTCTGAATTGCATCTTTTTTTCCTCTAATGCTCTGTACTAACAATTCTCTGCCTTCAGTCCACATCATCAACTTTATTTTTCATTAGTCATCATTTTAGAATGTGTTCCAGATACTTCTTTTAATGTTAATTTGTGCTAGTCTTATTCTTTCTGACCTCTACATTGTTGTATGTGATGTGTTTCTCTTGGAGTTCTATTTTTTCTGCTATTCCACTTTAAGAACTTTCTTAATACATTTTATTCAGGAGTTCTTCCTCATGGCAGTATGACTTAATGTGATTTATCTTCCTGGGTATATTATATCCTGTGAGGCAAGGAGTTTACTTCTTGATTTTTCTATATTTCCTCATGTCCTAGGGATTTTGTATTGCAATAATTTGCTGTTTATTATTACTATTGCTAATTTATTACTAAATTACTGAGGTGTTGATTACAAAATAATGTTTCCAGGGAAAGAAGCTTTGTGTATTCACAGATAGTTTTATATTATCCTATGGTGTTTTATATATCTTGTTTTTTTTTCCCCCAAAGGTTCTGCTATTTCTGCAGTAGCCACATCTGTGGTTTATGGTCTACCCTGTCGCCAGCTTCATCATGCTCTCATTCCTCATGGAAAAGGTGGGCGTTCTTCTGTCAGTGGGGTTGTGGCTACTGTGTTTGGAGCAACAGGCTTCCTGGGCCGATATGTTGTCAACCATCTTGGTAAGTAAAGTTCCTTGAGTTCAGACTGCTCCCTTGCCATTGGTTTGGATTGCCCAATGAGAGGCCATCAGCTATGTTTCTCTTCATTTAACATTATCCAAGTTCCTTCTATGTTGGATATATGTAATTTTTATCTACCGTACATTAAGAATATAGTCATACTTCCTACTTAAGACATTAAGATGGGAATAATGAGTTGAAAAGTTATAACATCGTTAGCATGATAAAATATGCTTTTTATCAGTTCACATATCATACTAGAATTTATATATTTACCAAATCATTATTGTATAACATGTGTATATTATATTGATGTTGATCCTTGTTTCAATTCATTTTTTAGGACGGATGGGGTCACAGGTGATCATACCCTATCGGTGCGATCCTTATGACGTTATGCATCTTCGGCCCATGGGTGATCTGGGTCAGATTATCTTTCTGGTAAGACCTATATGACTAATAATTGGAGTTGATGAATGTAAATTAAAAGAAAGGTCATTTTTAAGAGAAAGAGGAAGGATAATTTTATCCCAGAATGGACAAGGAGTATGCTTTATTTGTAAGTTCCTTCAGTTAGGTTCCTGTATCTCTTGTTTTGTATGCAAGTGTTATAGCAGTAGATGGCAGAGGTTTTATGTGAGGGCTAGATAATAAATATTTCAGACTTTTTAGGCCGGCCATCAGTAGGTGGCTGTTTTCCATTAAAACTTTGTTTATAACATCAGGCTGCAGGCCAGATTTGGCCTGTGGGTTATAGTTTGCTAATTCCTACTCTAGGCCTGTTCTGACCAATGTGATAACCACCAGCCACATGGTGGCTCTCAAGCACTTGAAATGTAAGATGTGCTGTAAGTATAAAATGCATATTTCAACAACTTAGTATGGAAAAAATAATATTCAATGTATCAGTGATTTTTGTAGTTATTACACATTGAAATAGTGAACCGATATATCAGGTTAAGTAAAGTGTATACTAAAATGAGTTTCTTTTATTTTACTCTTTTAAATGTGGCTATTAGAAAATTTAGAAAGTAGAAAATTCAGAAAGTAGTAAATTCAGAATTACATATATACTTCATTTATATTTCTATGGAATGGTACTTTTATAATCAGAGAACTATCTCCAATGGAATACTTTATAACTTAGTTCACTTAGCATGGATTTAACTTAGAACGCCTTCCCAAGCATTCCCTGTTGACATTCTTTTTTGGGGGTAGGGAGTACTAGGGATTGAACTCAGGGACACTTAACCACTGAGCCACATCTCCAGCCCTTTTTTGCATTTTATTTAGAGACAGGGTCTCACTGAGTTGCTTAGTGCCTCTGCTGTTGCTAAGGCTGGCTTTGAACTCATGATCCTCCTGTCTCAGCCTCCCCAGCCGATGGGATTACAGTGTTCACCACCCCGCCAGGCCTTGTTGTTCTTTAATCTATAGGGTCTTCCTTTAGGCCAGAGTTGCCAATGGGGCAAGGCAAGGAGGATGGGAAGAACCTTGAAGGGAGTGATTAAAAATGCCTATGTTGTATAGTAATTATAGAGCTATACTGGCTTATCTGATAGAGACCAAGGATGCTCAGTATCCTACAGTGCTCAGAATAGTTCCTTTCCATAGAGAATTGTACTGCCCAGAATGCCTGTAGCTGTCTTATTGATTGCTGCCCTCTCTGGGCCTTGATGTTTGGCTTAAATATGCTTTTAGCCAACTTTCTACTTTTGTCATACTGTATGAAAACTGAGCTCTTCCATTTATACTCTTTGCCTTTAAAAACTACTGGTAAATATCTTAACATCTCTGACATGATATTTATACAGATGTTTTGAAATCCCCTTAAATTTTGACTTTTTTTTTAAACTTATTTGTAATGACATTTTCATTTGTTTCTTCTTAAATACTCAAGCTAAGTGTAATAGTTATGTTGGACATTTCTTGTTTCTCAAATATTTTTCTTTTCCAATAGTTTATTATCAAATATCTTCTTGACATTATAAGTGCAGAAGCTTAGCTTTTCGCCAATTTGTTTTTTTTCCTTTTTTTTCCCCCCCTTACACTAGGGATTCTACTACTGAGCTACATCCCTGGACCTTTTTATTTTTTATTTTGATATAAGGTCTCCTTAAATTGTGGAGGCTGGTCTCCAACTTGTGATTTGCCTATCTCATTGAAAATATAGGCATGTGCCACTGCACCCAACTTTCTCTAGTTTTTTGTAACTTAATTTTATTGGTCACTTTGTTAGTGCCTCTGAATTAAAGTATTTCACCACAGATAGGTGAGACCTTTGACTAGCTTACAAACATGGAATCACTAGAATTGAGCCATATGACATTTACTTTCTTCTTCCTATAGGTAGTAATTTACTCAGTACCTAGTATTGAGCTGTGCTTTAAGCATGTCTTAATGAGTAAGACTTAAGGCAACTGAGAATCCAGTGTGTTGAGTGTTTTTTTTTAATGTGCTTATTTTTGAGACAGGCCATTTTGAGTAGGGGGTATGATTTCCCCACTTTAATCCATTTGAAAGTGTTATATAAATGGCTACTTGGTTTACCAGCCTCCTTATGCCTCTTGGGCCTTATTCTTGAGAATTTGGTTTCCTTTTGATTTCTCCTATTCTGTTAGTTCACATAGTTATGCCTCAAGCTCTTCTACTCTTGAGTCATCTAGCATACTTTTCTAATCCTTGGCATCTTTTCTGATAACACCTTTTTTATCTTTATGTACAGAGCTAGTTTTTTGTTAAGTATATCATTCATTGTGCAGAAGATTTGATGTATATGTAGTCTTCAGAGCACCCTCACGAGGTAGACTGTATTTCTTCTCTCCCTGCCTCTCTTTCTTTTGCTGGGGATTGAGCCCAGAGGTACTGTATTACTGAGCTATACCCCCAGCCCATTTTATTTTTTATTTTGAAATGGATCTTACTATGTTGCCTAGGCTGACCTTGAACTTGCATTCCCCCCTGCCTCAGCCTCCCTAATAACTGAAATTAAAGGTATAGGCCATTGCACCAAACTTTGGTATTTTCTAATTTTACCTGGGGTTTGGAGAAATAACTTATTCAAAGTTAGTAAATGGCAAACTGGGTCTGCATGCCTCTGTTTGACTCAACATTTTATACTGTTTGCACCACACTGCATTATCAGTTCCATCTGGTTTTTGCTGGGGCTTCATACTTTTGTTCTTGATTTTGATTTTCCTTTTTTTCTAGTACATTTAAGTCCATTCTCTTTCTCTCCCACTGCTCCCCACCCCCTGTTTTTCCCTCTCCCTGTGTCATTGCACTGACATACACACACACACACACACACACACACACTCTTAGTATTTGGGCCTAGAATTATTACTTATCTTTCATTGAAGTGCTTACAGAGTTCAATTTTCATTTTAATATAGGAAAATTTTTTTGTCTTTTGGGTTATTTAATTCTCAGACATTATTTTGGACAAATTCATCATCGACTTAAGTCCTAAATGACTAATAAACTGTTCAAAAGTGTAGTTTTATGCCAAAACCTGAGGTTTTAGTCAGTTAATTTCTTTAGTTTTCGTGTCTTTAAGGTAGAAATTATTAGATCTGAAATTATAAAAAGGGAAGAAATTACAAAGAAAAAAGAAATAGTCATGAATGTCCCCCACCCCATTTAGCTAGACTTTAAAAGCCCTTCTTTTATCTTCAGTCTATAAGTGGTGGATAAACAGGGGATGTGTCTTCATCTCCCAAATGATCCTTTGTTCTTCGGCTGTTTCAGGAAGGGAAATTTGATTACTGAATTCCTTTATAAACTTGGGTAGTTGGGTGGACAAAAATTAATATCTAAAATATGAACTGCCTCTTAGGTTCTGTTATTTGATTGCCTTAATTAAAAAGTTTTTTAACCTCTTTGTCCCAGAAGAGTCAAGAGAATCAGCACTGAGCCTGAGACCTCCGTCTTATTTCCGTTGTAATCATTGGAACCTGTTTAAATGCCACCATATTGAGACTAGAGTATATGATCCATTTTAAAACTTGTTTAGGAGGCTATGGAAGCATTAGGTGCCAGGGTGGGCCCCTTATGTTTTCATCTGATTGGCTCTTACTGCTATAGGAATGGAATGGGAGAGACAAAGATTCTATCCGAAGAGCGGTGGAGCACAGCAATGTGGTCATTAATCTTGTTGGACGAGACTGGGAAACCAGGTAATCTCAGTCTCTTATTTCTTTCTTGTGTAAGTCTAAGGATTCAGTAGACTTTTATTGGACACCTTCTATATGCCAGGCGTGGTAGTAAC